ATATATATATATATATACATACACACATATATATATATATATATATATACATATATTTATATACTTTCTAATAAATACAACTTGCTCTGTGCAAAGTTTAATGAAGAATTTGTTTCACATAGTGAAACCCAGCTGGGTAAGAGCATGCATTTGTCTATGTGCGAATGCCAGGGAGGTTTTGATGTCGCTGGTTCTTTCCTGGGGATTAGAATGAAGGGGTGGAGTGCCTTTTCCCAGAATGCTTCAGCGATGACACTGGACAAAACACAAATTTAAGGTTAGGGGGTCATGACGGCTCCACAGTACTTTGCACATTTAACTTTGGCATTAAGGGCAGGACTAGACAATGTTCTTATTTATACTTACATGAAGTATTCTATATTATTTTACTCTGACTCAGCTAGAAGAAAGAAAAGAGGCCTTAATCAAACCAAGAAACTATGATCAACTAATGACTACATTCTATAAGCTGGTAATTGTGGATGTTTAATAATGTTAAATAATTAGGGATGCGGCGATATTAAAATTCCAATAATCCAATAATTATTGTCATGCTATGTCCAAGAACAAATAAATGGCCGATATTAAGATTTATACTACTTTGTCTATATAAATAAAAATAAATAAATATTTATACTGCTACAAGTGAATTTAGGCATCACATTATAATGTACATTTGTACAGTATGAAAATGGATATTAATTTTGCTGAAGATTAACAGTGTTATTGATTTTTTTTTGTGTATTTTTAAAGATTTTGGTTTTTAAAGACTTTAAATGAGCACTAGATGACAATAATGTCAGACTTTGTTTTGTGTGTTTTGCTCCCCATGTGCCTTCCTTGCCCTTATTTGGTCCTTCCTGTTTCCTGTTCCAATTATGTTTATTGATCCCAGGTGTTTCTCATCATCCCTTCGTCATGTCGTGTATTTAAAGTGTGTCCTATTCTGAGTTGGTCGTCCGGTATTGAATGTCTGTGAACGTCGATCCCCGTGTCCTATGTGTGGTTTTCTCGGTGTTAAATAAAGTCTGTGATGATTCTCCTTCGTCTCCTCGCTCCTTCACAGTAGGCACATCGTGACAGAATACCGGACCAAGAACAGTAAGTGGCGCCCCCTCTCCCCGTGTTTGTTTTCCGTTTTCAAAAGTCTTTTGTTTTCCTGTTTGTTTCCCCCCGAGATCATGGAAATCGCTGCTCGTTTCTCCGCCTTAGTTCGCCGAGATCTCCCCTTCTTCGAGTACGCCTGGGAATTCTGCGGGCTCACCGCGGCGTCGGCATTGGATGACGCCACCATCAATTCTCTGTTCTGGCTCGGGGCCAACTACCATCGCCCCATGGACCTCCCAGACACCAAAGGACTATGCTGGAGGGAAGGGATCTACTGGTGTCTGGGGAGCGTCCGGGCCCGGGCCCGAGCCAGAACCAGCCTGCCGGCCGTTCCTCAGTCAAGGCCGCGGCACTCTCCAGCCCGCTGGCTGTTCCGAAGCCAAGACTGCAGGCCGTGGCTCATTCCTACTTTTTCAGTCAAGCCCGCTGACCACGCCTTTCACCCCGAACCTAGAGGGGAATCTAAGGAGGAGAAGGCGGTCGGCTCCAGCCCCAGAGCTCGCTCCAGTGTTGGCTCCTGCCCCTGAGTTCGCTCCAGTGCCAGCTCCTTGAAAGCACCTTGCTGTGCCTGCTCCTCCAGAGCACCCTCCAGTGCCAGCTCCTCGTAAGCACTTCCCAGTCCCCAAGTTTAGCCCACGGAGGGCTCCTGTTGCCGAGTTAGGAGGGCTCCTGTTCCCGAGTATAGCTCACGGAGGGCTCCTGTTCTCGAGTTAAGCCCACGGAGGGCTCCAAGTCCCGAGTTTAGTCCAGAGAGGGTTCCAGGTCCCGAGTTTAGCCCAGAGAGGGTTCCAGGCCCCGAGTTTAGCCCAGAGAAGGTTCCAGTCCCTGTGTCTAACACAGAAAGGGCTCCAGTTCCCATGTCCAGCCCAAGGAGGGCTCCAGTCCACAAGTCAAGCCCAGTGAGGGCCACAGTTCCCGAGTTAGGTCTACGGAGGACCTCTAAAGACGATATTCTCCCCAAGGATTTTTTTGGGGGGGTAGTATGGGTCCGTCCATAGTGGCCGGGCCGAGTGGCGAGGCCAAGGCCACGGAGGCCGTCCAGCCATGGCCTTCTGAGTTCCTCCTGAACTGTCTGATCCGGCATGGCTCCCCGAGCTGCCTGCTCCGCCAGGGCTCCCCGAGCTGCCTGCTCCGCCAGGGCTCCCCGAGCTCCCTGTTCTGCCATGGCCTCCTGAAGTGTATGCTCCGCCATGGCCTCCTGAACTGCCTACTCCGCCATGGCTTCCTAGTTTGCCTGCTCCACCATGGCGCCCCGAGCTCCCTGCTCCGCCATCGCCCCTGAGCTCTCTGTGCTGCCATGGCACCCTGGACTGCCTGATCCCCCATGTGCCTTCCTTGCCCTTATTTGGTCCTTCCTGTTTCCTGTTTCAATTATGTTTATTGATCCCAGGTGTTTCTCATCATCCCCTCATCATGTCGTGTATTTAAAATGTGTCCTATTCTGAGTTGGTCGTCCATATATATATATATATATATATATATAAACTCATTAATATTGGCCGATAACTCATACGATACCAATATATCGTGCATCCCTATAAATAAAAGCTTGGAAGCTTATTACAAGGGAAATGGACTTTGGGCCTTTACTGTTTTAATTATTATATCAGTTGTCATTCTGAGAGAAGAGAAGTAAAGGAATAAGTAAGAAATAAGGGTAAAATGACAAACAAGGCCTTTGGGACTCACCCTTCTCCCTTCCATTTCGCATGTTCTCCTCTTCTTCCTCTATACCGTCGTCCACTGCATAATTGACAAACATTACAATTACCACTAAAATCATGAAGTGGGTACTTAGAAGACAGAAGTGAGTCTACAAATGTACCTGAGTGAAGTTCTTTCACTAGTGACGACATAGTGTTTGTGATTGAGTCTGCAGCCACTAAAAGATCATTACGGAGATTTCTTGGTACACCTGGATGAAAGAGGAACATTTTCAGATCACAATATCCAGAGCTATAATATATCAATCCAAAATTAATTTAGCAACTTAAATTTCAGTCTGTTCCTCACTATCATATTGCATTAGATGTCTTGGAATATAGTCAATAACAGTTGTATAGACTACATTTATGGTATATTTAGTGCTAAACATCTTCCGA